TTTTTAACTAATAGTGTTAATTAATATGTTAATTACCAGAATGAGCCAAAGCCTTGTATTTCAACTTCCAGATAATACAGGTACACTAATATGCATTAATACATGATTAATTACGTTATTGTTAGTGCAAATTCATGTGTAAAGTACTACAATTACTAAATGACTAGTTAATAATGATGTGCCTCAACAAGTAAAGTCATAACATAATGATACCTTTGCAAATCATTAACTAATGATTAATTAAAGCAGACAACTGGTAGTTGAAGTGCATAGCTTTGACTAATTGTGGTAATTAACACATTAATTTACACTATTAGTTAATAAAATATGTTATTAAGGAATTAATACACAATGACACATTGAATTAATAGCAATTCATGTATTACATAATCTATTAATCATATAGACTCTTTATTAGTTGCTGATGCAGTAATAATTAATTAATGGTTTAGTTCTTCATGAGTTATACATTAACTCATGATTATCTGTGCATTAGCTAAACATGAATTAATGCATATTAGTGCACCCGTATTGTAAAGTGTTACAATTTTAGCATTCAACAACTCTGTTAACAAACAGAGCACTTCTGTGAGGTAGCTTGAACAATAAAGTAATAAATAACATAAAATCTTCACTTTTGGACTTTAGTGCAACAGTCAATATAGAAAAAGTCTAATATAAAAACAAATAGCACCTCGACTTAAAATACCCGGCAGGCATGTAAACAAAAAATAAAAATGTTTTAAAAGTGTATAAAAAAATAATGAGAATATATACACTCACCGGCCACTTTATTAGGTACACCTGTCCAACTGCTCGTTAACACTTAATTTCTAAGCAGCCAATCACATGGTGGCAACTCAGTGCATTTAGGCATGTAGACATGGTCAAGACAATCTCCTGCAGTTCAAACCAAGCATCAGTATGGGGAAGAAAGGTGATTTGAGTGACTTTGAACGTGGCATGATTGTTGGTGCCAGAAGGGCTGGTCTGAGTATTTCAGAAACTGCTAATCTACTGGGATTTTCACGCACAACCATCTCTAGGGTTTACAGAGAATGGTCCGAAAAAGAAAAAAACATCCAGTGAGCGGCAGTTCTGTGGGCGGAAATGCCTTGTTGATGCCAGAGGTCAGAGGAGAATTGCCAGACTGGTTCGAGCTGATAGAAGGGCAACAGTGACTGAAATAACCACTCGTTACAACCGAGGTATGCAGCAAAGCATTTGTGAAGCCACAACACGCACAACCTTGAGGCGGATGGGCTACAACAGCAGAAGACTCCACCGGGTACCACTCATCTCCACTACAAATAGGAAAAAGAGGCTACAATTTGCAAGAGCTCACCAAAATTGAACAGTTGAAGACTGGAAAAATGTTGCCTGGTCTGATGAGTCTCGATTTCTGTTGAGACATTCAGATGTTAGAGTCAGAATTTGGCGTAAACAGAATGAGAACATGGAACCATCATGCCTTGTTACCACTGTGCAGGCTGCTGGTGGTGGTGTAATGGTGTGGGGGATGTTTTCCTGGCACACTTTAGGCCCCTTAGTGCCAATTGGGCATCGTTTAAATGCCACGGCCTACCTGAGCATTGTTTCTGACCATGTCCATCCCTTTATGGCCACCATGTACCCATCCTCTGATGGCTACTTCCACCATGTCACAAAGCTCTAATCATTTCAAATTGGTTTCTTGAACATGACAATGAGTTCACTGTACTAAAATGGCCTCCACAGTCACCAGATCTCAACCCAATAGAGCATCTTTGGGATGTGGTGGAACGGGAGATTTGCATCATGGATGTGCAGCCGACAAATCTGCGGCAACTGTGTGATGCCATCATGTCAATATGGACTAAACTCCCTGAGGAATGCTTCCAGCACCTTGTTGAATCTATGCCACGAAGAATTGAGGCAGTTCTGAAGGCAAAAGGGGGTCCAACCCGTTACTAGCATGGGGTACCTAATAAAGTGGCCGGTGAGTGTATATATATACATTATGGGGTGTAACAGTTCACAAAATTTGCGGTTCGGTTCGATACGATACAGCAAAAAGAAAGAAATGCCAGAGAAATTTCCTATTTATTAAAAGAAAAACTATTTTTAAATAAGTTTGAGTTTTCCTACATCTTGAAACTTTCAGGTTTATAAATGGGGGTAATCTTTGAAGGATGAACAAATAATGTGTTGGTAATCACATTAAAAATCACATTTAAATATATATTTATATAATATTTGAGTTTTGAAGTGCAACATTAAATCCATGTTCATTCACGGCACAATGTTTCTCCTGGTGTCCACGTCAGCGCTGTTTGATCTGATAGAGATCTACGGTTAATAACGGAGATATTTGAATGCTTCTTACTAGATCTCGCAGCGATGTTATTACTTCAGTGGCGAATTCAAATGTTTTCTTCACTGGATCTCTTAGCACAGTGTCGCTTGATCTCGCGCTGCACAGATGTTGCTGGTCCGAAATGATAAATGGCCCGTTAAGCACAATATAATGAGAAGCGCAGTTTCGTTACGCTTTCATTACGCTTGCCATTTGATGTTGCGCAACGTTGTGGTGATCGCTTCAGCGCGGATTTTGTCTGCAGGAAAAATGGTCCTAGGAATCGTTCGGTTTTTATGCGTACCGAACCGGAAGCCTCGTACCGAAACGGTTCAATAATTCAATAATAATTACGAATACATGTACCGTTACACCCCTAATTTACATGGACTCGGATATATCATATATCCGAGTCCTGATCGGGAGGTAACGTCCGATTCCGATCGAGTCTGAAACCACGTGATCGGGCCCGATTTCCGATCGCGTGATCGGATCGGGACATCCCTAGTTGAGACCATTCTTCACTCCAGAGCTCCATCCACGAGGAAGCTTTATGCCTTGAAGTGGAAACTTTTCACTTCTTGGTGTGGAGAACACCTGCAGGACCCAGTTAACTGCCCAGTGGGTGCAGTGCTGGAATTCCTGCAGGAGCGCTTCTCCACAGGGTTATCCCCCTCCACACTAAAGGTGTGTGTGGCGGCACTAGCTGCTTACCACGTCCCTTTCAGTGAAGTTTCTCTTGGGAGACACCCGCTTATAACTCGTTTCCTCCGTGGCACTTTGAGGCTGAGGCCAGCAGTTCGTACGAGGGTGCCGACCTGGGATCTGGCCATTGTATTGGAAGGTCTTTCCCTAGCTCCTTTTGAACCTATCGAAGAAGTTCCTGAGAAGTGTCTCACTTTTAAAACTTTTATCTTTCTACTTGCTATCTCCTCATTAAAAAGAATCAGAGATGTGCAGGCTCTGTCGGTGTCACCCTCGTGTCTGGAATTTTCGCCTGGCATGGTTAAGGCTTTTCTGCATCCTAGACCAGGGTACGTTCCCAAGGTCCATGTAAGCTTTAGCGTTAAGTTCTGTCAGGAAGACTCAATTGCTACGTCACTTATTACCTTCTCATCTATCCAATCGCGTCTAATACTTGCGGTATAAAAGACCAGTACTTACACATGTTTGAGTTCGCAGATGCTGACGCTTCCATTCACCTCCATCCTCCCCACCACCACCAGGATGGTCCCTTCCCCTCCATCCTCCCCCACCACCACCAGGATGGTCCCTTCCTATACCTCACAGGGGGTCGGCTGCGCCCCTGCCTTCGTCTTCAGGCAGGAAATGCAGAGTCCGGACCCTCGGATTGCGAGCTATGGACGGGGCCTACGCCAAAGAACTTTATTGCTTGCTGGGCTATCAATAAATGTATTTATTGTACAGTATTTATTCTCCCGAGTCTTTCTGGTAGAACTACTAATGTTGTTAGACCTACGGTTCTGCAGGCTTTCTGTCCTCCTCCATTTATGTCATCGGACCAGGAGAAACTTAATTTACTCTGCCCTTTTAGGGCGTTAGACGCTTATGTCCACAGAGCTTCCCTGTGGAGGAAATCAGAACAACTATTTGTATGTTTCGGACCACCCAGGAAAGGGTGTCCTGCATCTAAACAGAGAATGAGCAAGTGGATGGTCGAGGCTATCTCACTTGCTTATGAGTCGGCTGGTCAGCTTTCACCTTTGGCTGTTCGAGCCCACTCTACTAGGAGTATGGCTGCTTCCAAAGCTCTATTTTCGGGGGTTTCCCTGAGTGATGTTTGTGATGCGGCTGGATGGTCTTCATCGCATACTTTTGTTAAGTTCTATGACCTAGACTTAAGTTCTACCCCTGGGGCACAGGTGCTCTCGTCCTCTGTGCGCTAGTTCTCACATGGCGGTCATTTGGTCCTATGGCGACGTGGGTATTCGCGTTCCCGCAGCGTTTGACGCAGCTCGAAGTTCCCTTGAAAGGGAACGTCTCGGTTACGTATGTAACCCTAGTTCCCTGATAGGGAACGAGACGCTACGTCATTCCGCCATACTCCCGGCACTCCCGTTAGCGCTTCCTTCACGCCTATCAGAAACTGCTTTATAGTTTCCTGGTCGATGACGTCACCCGCCTATGACGTTTCATCTCTCCATTGGGCTGATTCCATACGTGCTTCATGACGCACAACGCAGGGGCGTTCCCGCAGCGTTTGACGCAGCGTCTTGTTCCCTATCAGGGAACTAAGGTTACATACGTAACCGAGACGTTTTTCAACTCATTAACAATCCATAACATTCTTCACTGTACATTTTTTCATAGGTGCATGTTTGTCCACCAAAGGGTAAACTAATCTTTCAAATGCTGACAATGCATTATCAGGACGAACTTCCTTATAAACATCAATCCAACATACATTATTTACGTCTGTACAAAATTATTCTTGCCTGAATCTCTTATATGATCTTTTATAAATAACTTTTGGTTTCCTAAGTTTTCAAAGTGTTTACATTCTTGCTAAATAAAACATAATATCTTTTTACGCATGTGCTTAAAGGCCTTAAACCGCTTGAACACCGATAAATACTGCTTGCAGCTTTAATTTCAGTTACATTTGAAAAACCTTCACAATAAAACCATTTTATTTCTCTTACAGGAACCTGCACACAATCTTCATGCACCCATCAGTATCACTTTGTAAATGATTCAAAGACCTGGACTGAAGCTCAGAGACACTGCAGAGAGAATTACACTGATCTGGCCACCATTGATAACATGGAGGAAATGAACAGGCTCTTTAAAATAATACGTAGGACTTACTATGGCAAAGCTTGGATTGGTCTCTATGATGATCTGAACAGCTGGAAATGGTCTCTGGATAATGCAGCTTTAGAAGGAGGATTTAAAAGCTGGTATGTCCAGCAACCAGTGAACTCAGGTGGACAGAGTCTGTGTGTGCACATGTCATATTATTGGGGAATATGGCGTGAAATCTCTTGTTACTATACACTTCCATTTGTTTGCTATGATGGTGAGAACTCCTGTTGACTTTTTAAAGTTTGTAGAACAATATATTTCTGATACCATGGATATATCACATACACATATATTCCCCGCAGGAAAAGTGAATGCTAGTACAAGTTACGTGTTTGTTTACCAGTACAAAAACTGGACTGAAGCTCAGAGTTACTGCAGAGAACATCACACAGACCTCGTCAGTATCAGGAATGAGACTGAAAACCTCAAACTTCAGTCTTTATTTCAGTATTATTCCGCTTTTTGGATTGGATTGTATAGAACCAGATCTTGGTCAGATCAGAGCAACTCTTCATTCAGTAACTGGAGGATAGGGCAGCCAGATAATGCTGGAAACAGTGAATACTGCACTGCAATGTCATTTAGAGACTCTGGGAGCTGGACAGATGAAAACTGCAATACTGCATTATCTTTCATTTGCTACAGTGGTGAGTATTACGTGCACCTACGTTAAGAAATGCACAATGTTGACTTTTAAGTGTACACCACTCTCTGGCAGACAATTTAGAAATGTTATTCAACATTTCCAGATTTATTACCAGATTTATTTTTTCATCATATTTTTCGAAAATATGTGTAACACTAGTTACAATCACTAGTAATTGTACTAATTGTTCTAGTAAAATAAGTTATTTAACATGAACTAAAAATGAAAAAAAAACTTCGAATGCATTTGTTAATCTTGGTTAAAGTTAATTTCAACATTTATTAGAAAACATTATTGTAAAAAAAAATGTTTTAATGAACCTGAGCTAGCAGTAATGTATCGATCTGTTAACGTTGGTTACATATAGTTTTATATGTGACTAATGTTAACAAAGATCAATACATTGATGCTAAAGAATGTAAGTCAATACAAACATGACATAACTAATGATACTTTATTGTAAAGTGTTACCAAAATATGTAAAATATATATTTTGATCCTCTTATTTAGTCTACAAACAGTCTACAAAAGTTAATTAATTCCAAATCCAAAATGTCCTTACAAATAATCTCTATTATGCACCTTTTTCCCACCTTGCCAGCATTAGCATCATCCCGAGAGTATCACTTTGTGAATGAGTCTAAGACCTGGACTGAAGCTCAGAGACACTGCAGAGAGAATTACACTGATCTGGCCACCATTGATAACATGGAGGAAATGAACAGGCTGATAAACACAGTTAATGGGAGTTACAATGGCTCAGCCTGGATTGGACAGTATGATGATGTGAACAGCTGGAGATGGTCATTGGAAAACAATGATTTCTATCAGGAAGGAGAGAGAGATTTCAGGAACTGGTATCATGAACCCAATAATGCACCGAATGAACTGTGTGTTTACATGGATTATAATGGAAACTGGTTTGATTCATCATGTGAATATTATTACACATTTGTTTGCTACAATGGTAAGACATTACAAGTAAAAACGAAATGTGTGTGTGTGTATATATCTTCTTTTTCTTTGAGATTTGTCAAAAAAGGGATTTTCAGTCCTGAAAGATCTTGAAGTGTTCAATATTTTTCTTTCACATTTAAACCCTAAATTCTTGGGAGAAAAAAGAAAGACTGTTTTTCAATCTTTGATTAGGCTAATTAGTAATGTTTTTTGTTTTCAAAATGTATTTTATTATATAGCTATACATTTGACAAATAACAAATAAATTTACTGATTTTCATCCACTAAATTTTATCTTAGGTAGAGAAAACGCCTCTCAGAAGTATCTTTTTGTAAATGAGAGAAGGACCTGGACTGGAGCTCAGAGCTACTGCAGAGAGAATTACACAGACCTGGCCAGTGTGAGAAATGAGACAGAACGTCAACAGATACTGAATGTTACGCGTTATAGCTATTATTCTGGCTATCCTGTATGGGTTGGTCTGCACAGAAACAGACTGTGGTCAGATCAGAGCAGCTCTTCCTTCACATATTGGCTGCCATATACTCCAGGTGAGGTTGCACAACCAGATAATGGTGCAAATGTCCCAGGACTGCTGGGAGCTCAACACTGCACAGCTGTGTCTCTAAAATACTTTGGTCAGTGGACGGATGAAAGCTGCTTTGCCAGTTTGCCTTTCTTCTGTTACAGTGGTAAGCAAATGCACATTCTGTAATGAATTAAAATAATAAAATAATAAGCACCAGGGGAAAAAACAAGCAAATTTATTACAATCAATTGTTAATATGCCATTGTTATTTGTGTAATTCACAAACTTTTATGCTAATGCTCTGTCTTCTATTTGCTTTCTGGTGAACATGATGATCATCATATTGACCCATCAATTCAGATGTATATGGTATGTTTGTGGAGATATGTGCTGTTTTCAGTCCAAAATGAGTGTTTTTCAACATACATCGACATTACTGGTTTGTATTGTTTGTATTCATGCACGACTGACCAGTGTTCTTTTTTTATTTTTCTACTGATCAGTGACGGGACTGAGAGTTGAACTTACAAGTGCGGAAAATCTGTCAGAGTCTCAGATTAAAGAGCTTGTGATTATACAGGTGAGAAACAGTTCAACACACTCATAATATTTTTAGTTTTTGTTGCACAAAAACAAACAAAAAACAATTCTGATTACCATTTGAATCAGGCTAAATTCTCGAATTATGTTGTACATTAAAATCTTGAATTAATTATATCTGCATACATTCATGTTGGTTCTGTTGTGTTTTACCCTAAGAGGGGTTATTGATGCTCTCCCTGCTCTTATCTATGCTAGGCTGCATGGATGCGCAGGGAGTTCTTGCCCAGAACAGAACCATGTTACCAATCCAAACTGTATGCTAACTGTCAAATCGTATTTGACGATAGTGGTCCTGACAAAAATAATAATAATAATTATTATTATTATTGTTATTTACAGATCTTTGTAATATTTTTAGCTCAAAAATATCTCACTGAAAATAAATCCCATGTTTCAGCTCCAGGAAGAATTTATCAGAAGAGGACTTCCCAGCAACTTCACAATGCATTTGAGAAGCTATCTTAAAATCAAACCGTGAGAGATAACAACAGAATATGTGCACACAAGAACATGGTTTTAGGTTTTGTGTTTCTGCATTTTGCATGTTCTTTGTCCTATTGATAATAGATATTTTGAATGTCACATGATTGTCTTGTATTGTATTTTTTTTAAAACAAATATAAGATGTATTTAAACTGCAGTTTTTTTGATTAACACAAAACTAGGTTGCTTGTACTCATAGCCTACTATCAGAACTTATATATATATATATATATATATATATATATATATATATATATATATATATATATATATAATCACACTAATCAAACATTTTGTGTCATTATGTGTTCCAATGATTTGTTACTTTGTCCCGAGACACTGGAATAGGCTTCAGCATCCCTGTGACCCTACATAGAACAATCAATTTGGGGAATAGATGGTTGGATGATTTGTTTAATCTGTCTGATAAAATTTACTTGGTAATTTATTAGTCATCAACCAAACATAATGATAATGATATTTTTTTGCCACCTCAGGGATACAGTTGTATTTGTCTTTGTTGTCAGCACAATACAGTACAGTGGAATGATACAGTACAACAACATACAGTGGAATGACAGACATGAAAACAGACATCTGACGTGATCATATGACACAACATTTTGTATATATTTTTTGATTACATGGTAATGTGATATTATATGGTACTATTTACAGGTTTATCATACACTACAATAAATAATCACACACACACACAAAATGGTTTCTTTCTTTATTTAAGTACCTCTAAAGTCCACTGGGGTTGATCAAGGAAAAGTTTACAGTAGTAGAAAATAAAAAAAATCTTGTAAGTCAGAATAATATCATCAGTCAGGATTATGATTTTGTGATTTACACAGAGACCAACCAAATGAAGGGCTATTAATAACCAGAGTCTAGTCTGTAAACTATAACCAAGATTATACTTATTTACATTAGTCTCCTTGAAATTATATACTTCCTTAAGTTACAGTCCTCGAATCTATAACTCTTCATTTTTTGTATTACTCTGGATTTGGATTTGTCCAGACACACTATACGTTTCCATCAAAAGTTGCATATTTAACTTATAGGCCTATAATATATTACTCCTCAGAGCGCGTAGACAAAACACAATAAACATGTTATCTTGGGATCACAGCCGTATAAGACAGTTCTGAGAGATAGTTTACAGAAAAAACACACTTTGCTCAGGCATTTCAGAATGACCAAAACAGCATTTCAGATTCTGAGCAATGACATCGATCTGCGACTGGCTGGTCCAGTTATGCCGTCCCACTGCAAAGTCACATCTCTTTTTTGATGTGCAAGACCCATGCAAACGCTCCACTCATGTACCTGCTCATACTCATTGGAAAAGCAAAAGTCCGCTCAAACAACGTGCCAACATGAAATTTCTATGTAGTAATACACTTGTTTCTGTTTGCAATTCCCCTACATGGTGTGGCATAGCCGTGCTGTCCGCTTTTGTTGAATGATCCACTCCTTGCTACGCTCAGCTCACATGCTCTGATAATACCTAGCTTTAGCTTTATATTACTCTGGATTGTTTGAATAATTGGTCAAAAATAAATCTGTTAAATCTGATTCTGTTGCATAAAATTTTAATAATATATTGATATTTAATATGAATGAAGCCTATTTTCTGTCCAATTTTATTGTGTTACTTTCATTAAAAGTGTGGTTACTTTATTTTATTGGATTTTATTTCTTTTAAGTCAGTATGTTTAAAACTACTGAATTTCCTTAAGTCTAATATTAATACAATTATGCAAAAAAGCTAATTTTTAAAAAGCATTTTCGGTTTGGGTTTTGGCCCAAGAATTTTCATTTCTGTGCATCCCTAGTAAATTTGTTTCTATTATAGTTTATGCGCATGTTTTCTCATCAGATAAAAAATCTATTCGACTCAGTTGAGCGCAGTTTTTTAATGCGCATTTTTACATTCAACATAATTCAGTAATGAAATGAGTTCTTGAATCATTTCCTCAACCAATTTATTAATAAACATGAAATCGTTCAGTGGGATCTGTTGCATGTATTTCAGGACTCCCATGTGCATTTGTTAATCTGTGGATCTGTACAGTTTTTTAAGGTTTTATGGTACGGTACTGTTTTCACGTAATGTATATGCAGCTATATCCTTTTCAAAAATTTTGGTTTTGAGTAAAATTTGGTGCATCCTTAAAACTATTAGCTTGTATTGATTAGCACTGATGGAGTCATATCTTTTGTATGCCATTTATTTAATCATTGTCAGCTATCTATTTAAATATTCAAGAAGGCCAATTTTGTGCAACCAAAGATGCAGAAGTTCTGAATACATGTAAACCACATAGTTTGACAACTCCATGGATAAAAATAGAAATCCTTTTTCTGTATAACATATATAACCAGTTTGCACCGGAACAGAACATCCACTAAGCCTCTTTAACCATTGTGTAGACTCACAATGTTCTCATGGAGTACATTGGATAGGGCAGCTTTGTGATCCAAGTTTCATGATGTCATGAGTGTTCAAAGAAATGATCCGCCCCTTCTTTGAAAACCATTATACATTTTAAGACGGTGACATAATCTGGCCAGAAAATGGGCAGAAACCAAAAAAATCAAAAGGTAAGCTTGGCAAAATATATTTTTATTATTATATAAAATAATATTAAATAATATTTATTATTATTATTATTATTGTACTTTTAAATGTATCCATCTACTAGATACTTTATACAAACCTACCAACACATGAGGAATGATATAAAAAAGCATTTTGTAGTATAATATGTATATTGTATAATACGTATATATCTTACTTCACAGCTATGTTTCCACTGATTATATTATCTGGTAAGCCAAACATTTTCATAAAGTGTTTCATCATCACAGCTTGCTACTCTAAAAGCATGATTTGGCTTTTGTTGGGCCTCTGGTGGTAAAATTATTTATTTCCATAGTCTAAAAAATAAAATCTAACACATTCATTATGTAAAAGGAGAACTCTGGGCAATTTTTAAGTTAATCTTGATCGTTATACCTTTGTGAGTACTGTCTATATAACGAACCGAATTGGTGCTTGCAACACAGAGCTGCTAAAGCTAATGCCCAGAGCTCCCACTCAGCTAAAACAGCAGTTATGGGGGCATATACATAAAGAGTGTCTTTGTGCCTCTTAACAGACACAAAATGCAATTAAAATGTCTGTCCAACATGAACAGGGCCCTTACATGACAACAAGATGCGTTTAGCAACTTAGCCATTGTTTAAATTCACCTAAATAGTGTTTTAGGGTTAGGGTGGAGGTCGTAGCCTGTGTGATCATCACACACCTCCCCCTTCCCCATACTGCACCCTCCCACACACTTTATTCTCTCTAGCAAGTCCATTGAATAATTCTCAT